CATTAATTGCAAACTAATTTTTTTTATTCACTTCCACAGACTAGCTACATGTACATACTTAGGAACACAAGATACTTTTTAACAGATCTTAAATCAACTTAACAAAATGCAAAACTCAGGGCAGCATTCTCAACCTGGCTGAATTATACATGATCTAAATATACTTCAGAAAGAAAAAAATCAAATATTAAATTTTAAACCTTCAGAAAGAATTAAATATTTTTTTAGATATCAACATAATTCAAGAAATAATAAAAAAAAAAGGCTCCATAACATATGTCAGTTCCTAATAATAAGGCTGATTTGTAGTTCTTTACTTTCAAAGACACAAGTTAGGCATGTACAGACAGAGTTATAGAAGAGAATACGGTTAACATATGTTAAATGTTCTAACAAAAAAATTATTTGCATTTTAATTCAAATTGTATAGAAATAAACTACCCAAACAATAAATACTTGAAAGACATATTCATAACTAAAATAATTTGTCAAAATTTAAAATACAATTGCAGACATAATAATTACTGTACAAAAATTATGTGAACTTACGGAAGTTTTCTTGGTCCCATCTGAACCATCCTGAAAGCTTTAATACATCCCAATCAATACAATACAATAGTATTTTATCGTTTCTTTAATCGGGTAAGTATCAAGTAACTTCAGTTCATTGAATTAAGGGATCAGTGAACCGAATACCAGTTTGACATCTATGATCCGTGATAAAAGGTCCTGTCATCAATAGGTTGTTACATGCCTCTGTAGCCCATATATAAATGTGATTATGTCTATAATGGTCACTAAACTGACCAAACAGCTATACCAAATTTTATACCAAGACAAAAAATCTTATACAAAGCAAACTTTCATTAAACACTTCTGTGATAATAAAGAAAGGACTGTCACATTTTGATTGTATGAATGGAAACTGTTTGTTTTCTTTGTTCAGAAACAATTTTATATGAATTAGAATTGATTTAAAATGTAAACAGACTATTTACACCTGACCATGATATAGTTAGGATTAAGTCAGAGTTAAAATAAACATGATTAGGCTATCCTTTCTTTGGACTAATACCACCATGTAAATGATTACAAACAATTATAGGTAAAAGTCAATAACAAAACAAATGTTTTAGGAGTAAACAGATATAGCTTAGGAAGTAACATGTAGGTTTATACAAATATAATGTCATGTTAAAAAGTCAGTTGTAGCTATTTATGCACCTTTTGCATGTGTTTTGCAGAGTTTTATTGTATTCTGTACTGATCGAGTCTATTCTAAAAGATTTGGCATATAGTTTATTATTTGGGTTAAATTCATAACGAACATGGGTACATAAGTATCAAGTTGATGTAACCATAAACTCCCTAAAACTTAAACTTAAACTTTGACCGTCTTCAAACCAAAACTTTATCCTGATACAGGACAAACGGACAGACAGATGGATGCACAAATCAGAAACTATACTGCCCACTACTATTGTAGGCTGGGCATACAATAACAGAATATCACAGGACATCAAGTCTGACATTCAGCACCATAAGTTTAAATAAACACATAAACTATCTATATATATAGCTAGGTAACCATAGATAATTCAATAAGAGTCCAAAGCAGATGGCATTATCTATAAAGCTTTGAGTCAGAAAATCACAAAACATCACCAACCATCACTAGTTGGCAAATGTAAGTATCAAGGCAGCTTATTACTTCATTACTTTTACACTTTCTGAATACGGGTGAGCTCATCTTCGAATGGTGAAAAACAACCGGAATTATTGAAAATAAATATGTATTGATTCTATGAAAATTATCAAATAGGGCTTTAGCTCATATCATACATGTGTATGAAGCAGACAACATAAAGTCTAAGTTAAGTATATTCAAATAGATAACAAATAAAACAGGATGTGCATAAAATAAAACGAAAGAAATATTCAATTAAGTGGGAAAATGTTTAAATGATGAGAAAGCACTCAAACTTTTCTGTCTAAGTCCATTAAAATCTATTGCAAGAATATTAATAATACACTTTACCAGTGTTACCTCGGGATGTGCTTCAAAAAGCAGACAAATTGTCAAAGTAATAATGACACTTAGACAGTGGTCTAATATCCACCACAACATGGTGTAGTTTATTAACATCTCATAATGACTCATATATGTAAATTAACTTGATTAAACCAGGTAGAAAGGGATTCTGCAATTAACCCTTTGTAAACCAAGACATAAACTCCAGCCATAAAGCACAACTCCAGTTAGTCAAGACAATTTTTCACATATTCAAGGGACATAATTCCCCTAGAATTTTAGACTGTCACTGGTTTTCAAATTCTCCTGAGATATTGTTGATACAAACTTTTCCTACAAATTTAAACAGAATCTAGCATTTGCTGGATGACTGAGAGCACTTACAAGATCATTTTCACACAATTTAGATTTCTACGGGACATAATTCCCATTGAAATATATGATCATAACTGGTTTTCAAACATGGATTACAAATACATTTGTTGCGGCTGTTTTGAAATTTGAAAGTTTATTAAATTCCTCCACAAACTGTAAGGGTGACAATGTTTAGAAAGCAAATGCACCAATGCACTGAGAGCAAAAATATCTTTTATACAACACTGTTTTAGCAAAAAGTAACAAATTACAGATTAACTGGAATAATTTTAATGACTTCAACACTTAAATCTTGGAATTAACCAGTACAATCTACTATTAGTATGTTAATGAGGATAACATCATCACTTGAATGTGGCTGTATTCAGCCAATTGAAATAAATGTATACGTATTAACCATTAAGTACATGTATACTTGTCTGAATGAAGCAATATACAACTGTATTTCTGTCAAATTTATTCTTTCTGAGTATAATATTTATATATATATATTACAGTAAATTCTTGCAAAAGAACCAATGTGTTCCGCTTAATTAGATTTTTGTCTAATGCATTTCACTGCACTCATTACTCTGAAATTGCAAAACTTTATAGCACTTATAAAATTTGCATCAATTAACAGCATTCCACATATTAAGAACTTGTGCATGAAGAGTAATCTAATGAAACGATCACTAATAAAGATTAAACTATCAATACAACCAAAAAAGTCTTAAAAGGATGATAACAAACCTTAAGCTCATCCTATCATTATAATCCTCTCTGAAAGGCTTAGATTTCAATACCATAACAATAATTTTTCAATGATACTGAAATATTAACTACACTAAGAATTTAAATTGCAGTAAAAATAATTATTGTAAATAACACTTGAATTAAACAGTTGCTCTTTATACCTACAATGTCATTAAAATTCAAAATTTTAGTCTAGCATTTATTATACTGTACAACAAATACTTCAATGTTCAACAGAACTCAAGCTGAAATGAGGATAGATTTATCTCCCTTGCAATGAAATTGTAATGTATTTCAGGTTAAGTGGAGTTGTCTCCTGTGAATAGTATTTGAGCATTTGTACTTGGAAAAAAACTGGAATAGAAAAAAAATATAGAACAAAAGGGTTTACTTGCAGTACTTGCCTAGAAATATTTTTAAAGGAATGGGGATTTACATTACTACAAAGTTTTGAAGGATGGGCTTATGTAAAATTTATAGGAAAGTTCAAATTTTAAAGAATAGCTACAATGTAGGAGCTTAAATTAATGCATTGCAACCCATCCATGCAAAAACCCTACAGGGAAAACCCAAGTTAAAGCCAATATTATAATTAAAGCATACAGAGCAGGATTGCTAGTTGGCTTTACACATTGCTATGTATACTCTGCATTTGGATTCCACAACAAAATCACTGCCTGAAATATTTCTGTCTGAATTTTTTATCAGTTAATAGACACAGAATTTTTTCCTGTCAATGATGAGTGGCATACAATTAGTGTAAAAATGTGTACATTCAATTTTTCATCCGAATCTGATAATGCTGACAGCAAACAACAAAATAATAGAATTCTAGAGCATAATTTGAGTAAATGACCCTCTTCTGACACATTAGGGTTTATGTTTGGAAATCTAGAATTATATTAGTATTAACACAATCAGCTAAAGTAAACAAGGCCATGCTATTAATCTATTTATTGAGGAGTCGTTATCAGTTTAAAGTCAAATTTGTCCTCTTCAGTCAAACCTATTACTTAATTAGGTAAACATTTCAACAATTGTCCCATAACACTAACAAATATTTTTCTCTTTACACATCAGGCATCTTTTCTATTACCTTAGCTTATATCATTTGAGCTAAGACTACCTAAACAAGAGGATTAGGCCATTTTGACAAGTTTCAAGTTGAGTAATATAGAGAAAACGGTCTCTAAACACAATAGCTCAAACAAATAAAATGTAGGAATGATTCATAGCCTGACCAGTTTCAGTCCTTCACAGACCTTCTTCAGAGGCAGAATGATGCATTAAGAGTGGCACACTATTTAGTGCATGAAAGCTATTCGTTACCTCATAATTATCATACAGGATTCAATTATCCATTCATTTAAATATCCAGTGGAATTTTCATCAGTTACAGTAATCTTCATTCAAATGACAGTTGACATCTTTAAACAGATTTTCAAAGTCCTTATTATAATAGATTTTTTTTTAATCTGAGAAAATATTAAAAAATATTAACAGTTGAATTCAATAGTACAATAAATAGCTATTGTTAATCAAAACATGTCTCTGGGTTTCAGGAACGGAAATTTACTTGGAACAAAAGTAGGGCTTCAAATACATTTATCTACTTTGACCCCTAAAGACTATATATCCACCAACCTCCAAAAAGATGATAATTTAAAAAAAAATACAATTTAATAAATTCCAATTCCATTTAGTAAAGAAAAAAAGCCATTAATCCCATGAATTAAAAGAACTGATACAACAAAAAGGATATAGGTAAAAAATAACAAAATAAGATGCCAGTTAGATTGTTTAGCATAATTAAAAAACAAAAAAGTTATTAAAATCCTACGAAAACAAATAAAAGTACCTCATGTGTTTGTCTACCTCTGGATTTTTATTGGATTTGATGAATTTTAACATTTCCTAAAACAATAAATATCAAACAACGTCATTGGATAATATACTAGAAAAGTTAAAACGGTAGTTAGTTGTATTACCAAGTATATCTGTCTCGTGAAATAAAGATCCTAAAATCTTAAGACTACAGGCAAGTTTTGGACACCTGTTATAATAAAATGAGCCATATATATTCTAATATAACATGTCTGGATCTGAAAATTGTGAAAAAAGTTTAATAAAACAGTGGTGATTCATGTTTACAACTGATTCACATACATGCAACACGTTGCATCAATGAATTAAATTCATTGTAACATATTACTTGCACATTATTATATTTCCTTATTTCCCCTTTTAAAGACTATAAATAAGTATTTGATATTCAAATTCGCCCTTTTTCCGAAGTTTTAAATCTATATAATAAAATTCTGTCTTACTTTCATGCTTAGGTTGACAATTTTGATTTCTATAAATAATATTTTTCACGATTGTTCTTTGTACATATACATGTAATTAATCCTCAATTAGGCATCAAAAACATTCTAAAGGATTTACATATGGCATATGTAAAACATGCATGGACAAACAAAAATTTTAATCTTAAATATGTAGATGTTTTGAGACTATCTGGCTGAAGGAAAGACAGGAGCAAGTACATTGTACATTAATAAAACACACAAAGATTAAATATGAAACATATCAGAACATTTGAATATGAATGCTCAGTTTTTGTATTGAAGTTTGGAATCCCTGTAGGCTCTGGGACATGGTAATACAAGTTACAAGGTTTTAGTATAATACACTATATACCAAATTTTGTATTTCACTCCTAAGAACCACCAAAATATAGAATGAGGAAGATACAGGGTAACATCAATATCGATGATTTTTATATGTAGACTGCTTTATATGAAAACAGTTTAATAAAAAAAATTCTCAAATAAGATGTCATGTTGCCCTTCAAGGGTTCTTAATTGGAGTAATACTGGTAGAAAATCTAATTATTTCTATTATTACCAAAAAACTAAGAGTATTTCTCAGTCTCTGTTTTGGAACAAACTCTCCTTCTTTTTTCTCAAATTTCAACCAAATATTTACTTAACCATGTACATGTGCTTTTGTCACTGCTGGTGGAGGTTTCCTCTTGGAGGTCATCACCAGCCTAGTAGTCTTCACTTGTGTGTTGACATGAACTATCATTGATATTATCATATTTATAAATTAACTGTATTACAAAACTTTGAATTGTTCGAAATATTAATGATTTTCTATCCCAGGAATAGATTACCTTAGCAGATAACCTTTTGGAATTTTTTTACCCTCAATTATGCTCTTCAAATTCAAAATTTAAATTTAAAAATTGAATGGCTTTTAATTTTCTAGATTTTGGCATCACTGATGAGTCTTTTGTAGACAAAACGTGTGTCTGGCGTACAAAATTATAAGCTGGTATTTTTTATCAGTATTCATGTGTGCTAATAATGAAGAAATAACCGCTATTAGCCTAGTACCATGATTTAATATAACTGGACAAAGATAGAAGGCTGTATGCTTATGGTTGCATGTTATACAACTTGTTCTTTTCTGAAAGCTGAAACAATTACATGCATGCAAAATTCACATATTCCACTCTTCTGAGTAATAGAACAGATCTTTATTATTTGTATCACAATCAAAGCACCATGCAACTTGTATCATCATGTTACTTACAGGACCTTAAAAACACAAAGTTAGGCTAGTCCTATTAAACCATGACATTCCAGATGATCAAATGTTTTTTTTTTTTCCAAATAATTCACTTCACTTCAAGTTAAATGAACACTGCAATGTAATCATGCATGTATTACTTGCTATTCTTATCCTTTAAGCCATTATATCCTATTGCTCCTTGATTGTCTCAAATTCAAACTGTAAATGGAAATTATCAAAGTATTGCTAGTAAATCGACAATATGCCTAGTGGAATAAAACAGAAGAAAAAGTTCTAATTTACCTGTGAATGATCACAGCAACAGGTGGTGTAGAAAGTCCACTAACTTCTTTCATTTTTCACACAGTTGTGATTAAATTTTCACCTTCACAAATAAATAAAAATGGCCAAGAATTTGAGCATATTTTTGGCAAACTAGTTTATAATTGATGATATTTCTGTTTAAAACATCATTTCCACATCAGTAATTATAGAAGCCTATTGGGTATGGATTGTGAACAGACAACAATAGGTGATGATCAAGATAGTCTATAGGCTAATATAACTTCATTTAAAAACAATTTATACATTGGAACATTATATATTGCTGTATCATACAGTGTCAGGTGATAAGGGCAATAACTCTGACAGTCAAAATATGACTGACATACTAAAATTGAAATCAATATGAAATATTTTAGAATATAATTAGGTACATGGTATTTAAAAAATGCCATTATTTGTTACATAAAGTGTTCTTTTTGTCAATTTAAATATACAGGATTATCTCAATTATGTAATTTGACAGTGAACTTTATTCAAAATCAAAGTTGTATTGAATATTACGGTAAGTTGGAATGTTGTCTGCCTTATCACTAGGTTGTCTTGTGTTTAGTTTTATACTACAATAAATACTTGTTTAAGCAAGTCAAAACAGATGAGCAGCACTTTTTAGTAACTCAATAGAATTTTATGCAACTATTGCAGCAACTTTTTTTTAACGAATAGAGTGCCTTTGAATATTTTTTAGGGTTCCCAAAGTCACTCTTTAATATACAAATATTTACATACAATTTGAATATTTGCAAATCATTTCGTTCTGTGAAATATAATAATTTGTTAATCAAACTTTCTGTTATCATATCAATACATGTACAATTAATGTTTACTTCAATTTTCTAGTTCAAAATTCAAAAAAACAAATCTTTTTACTTTATTGTTGATACAAAGTTTTAAAACGTTTCGAAACAGATCTTCATGAATAGTTACAATGTTATTTCACAAAATAGCCTGTCCATTCACATATTAATTCTGTTGTCTATTGTAAGTATTGTGTATAGGCGGTCAAGCTGATGTTACAAAGTCTGTACCCCAAAAAACAGTCATAATAATAGGTGTGTAACAACACTGCTACAAGAAATTTTTTAATCCTCATTTACACAAACCAGAACATGAAGATCCTCTCTATTTGTGAGATGCATACTCATATATAAAAACATAATAAATGTGGATAGTGTCCACATGTGGACACAGATGATGCCCCCGCTTGCATATCATATAGTTATAAAGGGACATAACTGAAGAACAGTAAAAGTGACGCTACCCAAATTTGAACTTGATCTGAGGTTTGTGGTAATAAGCATTGTGTGTAAGTCTCATAACATTTGGTTGAGGCTAACTTAAGTAGAGAACAGAAACTAAAAATTCAGCAATTTTCTATTTGTAAACACGCATAACTCTAGAACGGTTGTGTACAAGTTTAATAACATTTGGTTGAGACAAACTAAAGTTAGAGAACGGGAACGAAAAATTCAGCAATTTTTATGTTTATAAAGGGACATAACTCAAGAATGGTAAAAGTGTCGCAACCAAATTTCGTACTTAATCTGTATTATGTAGTAATATGCATTGTGTATAAGTTCATAACATTTGGTTGAGGCAAACTAAAGTTAGAAAACGGATCTTAGTTTTGTGGTAATATTGTGTATAGGTTTCATAATGTTTGGTTGGGGCAAACTTAAGTTACAGAATGGACACTAAATATTTTGCAATCTTTAGATTTATAAAGGGGCATAACTCAATAATAGTTAAAGTGACACTTCCCAAATTCAACTTGATCTGTGTTTTATCAGTGGAAGTCAAAATTAAACATTGCATTGTATAAAGCATTGATTGTAGTTGATTCAACTATAATTAAGGACAAAGGAAGATAACTCCAATTTTAAAAATAACTTGATATTTAGAAGAAAATAAAAATTTTGCAATTTTTCCATTTATAAAGGGGCATAACTCTAGAACAGTTAAAGTGACACCACCAAAATTCACACTTGATCTGTGTTTTGAGGTAATAAGCATTGTGTATAAGTTTCATAACATTTGGTTGAGGCAAACCAAAACATGATTACAGAAACGAAAAATTCAGCAATTTTTCCATTTGTAAAGGGGCATAACTCTAGAACAGTATAAATGACGCCACCAAAATTCAAACTTGATCTGTGTTTTGTGGTAATAAGCATTATGTATAGGTTTCATCACATTTGGTTGAGGCAAACTAAAGTTAGAAAACGGAAACTAAAAATTCAGAAATTTTCCATTTGTAAAGGGGCATAACTGTAGAACGGTAAAAGTGACGCCACCAAAATTCAAACTTGACCTGTGTTTTGTGGTAATAAGCATTGTGTATAAGTTTCAAAACATTTGGTTGAGGCAAACTCAAGTTAGAGAAAGGAAACGATAAATTCAGCAATTTTTCCATTTGTAAAGGGGCATAACTCTAGAACGGTTAAAGTGACGCCACCAAAATTCAAACTTGATCTGTGTTTTGTGGTAATAAGCATTGTGTATAAGTTTCATAACATTTGGTTGAGGCAAACACAAGTAAGAGAACGGAATCGATAAATTCAGCAATTTTTCCATTGGTAAAGGGGCATAACTCTTGAACGGTAAAAGTGACGCCACCAAAATTCAAACTTGATCTGTGTTTTGTGGTGATAAGCATTGTGTAAAAGTTTCATAACATTTGGTTGAGGCAAACTAAAACTAGAGAACGGAAACCAATTTTGGGACGTACGTAACGAACGTACGTACATACATACATACAGACGGACAAGGGTTAAACTTAATGCCCCCTTCGCTACGGCGGGGGCATAAAAACAGTTATTTAAAGACCAAAGCAGCATCTACTAGACCCATACCTTTGCTTGAAATTATATTTTTTATATTAAGGGGACCATATAATATTATGGGAGGGAGGGGGGATTTTGAAAATGAAAATTCTTGCCATATAAGAACTGAAAATAAACAAGCATTCCGTGTGTATTGCCTGGCAATACATAGTCCCCTACCGGTTAAAAATTCATTGTGCTGAAACAAAATTCGAACTTGATCTATAACTTGTCATGGTGTAAACAAATATCAAGTCAATATCTTCAAGCATGACAAAAAAATGTGGAAAATTGATTATTTGAGTGAATTTTATAAGTCCAAGGACCATAACTCTGCACAAAATCATTAGACCAGAACAAAATTCAAACTTGATCTGTAACTTGTCATGATAAAACTGTACACCAAATATCAAATCAATATCTTCAAGCATGACAAAAAAAAGGTGCAGAAAACTGATTATTTGAGTGAATTTTCTAAGTTCAAGGACCATAACGCTGCACAAAATCATCAGACCGGAACAAAATTCACACTTGATCTGTAACTTGTCATGATTAAATAATACACCAAATATCAAATCAATATCTTCAAGCACAAAGAAAAAAAAAGTGTGGAAAACTGATTTGCCGGACTGACAGACAGACAGACGGAGTGCAAACCTAAAGTCCCCAACGACTTCGTCGGTAGGGGACTAATAACCTTGCCCAAAACAGAATGAGAATGAATAATTACCCAACAAAATCACAGGCACTTGTCTCTGAAAAATATTTCCTATACATGTATACCTTAATAAAACACCATGTGTTATATTAAGTTATATGAAATTTCTTTCAGAGACAAGTGCCTGTGAACAAAATGCAGGATATAAATTGGTAAAAGGGTTAATAAACTTGTCCAAAAGGATAAATTAATTTGCCAAAAGATTAGCGAGACTCGCAAAATGTAAAAATGAATATTTCATCAGAAAAAATTCCCCCTGCCCTCTCCTCCAAGCAACTTCAAATGGTTATCCTCTTAATATACAATTTGTACAAATAAACTTCTATACAAAACAAATAAAACATGAAAGTTTATATCAGATATATTATCTATAAATATTGTGAATGTTTTGTTTTATAGACTTATATAAATTCTTAGATATAACTGAAAAGCTGTAAGTAAATCTTTTTACTTACACCTTGGGATACCACACATACATTAATCCAATGTTGTACTCGTCAAAGTGTAATTTGTGTTTCAATAGAAAAAGTATTTAGAAAAGCAAAGTTGAAAGATGCATCATTTCATGTCCTTAAATATTTTGCTACATCCCAAATTTTTATAACTTTTCCGCAAGATTAAAATGCATAATCACGAGATATTAATTTAGCAGATACATGTATATCATATGTCAGAAATACTTACATACATGTACATGTAAAAAGAAACTAACATACATTATGTTCATGTTCTCATCTCAGGCAAGATATGAACACTTGTCTAAATAATTTTGTCTGGCAGGAAGGAATGAAAATCTCTCAATAAATTGAAAAAAACAAGCCCTTTGGACTCGTCTTAGATTTACAATTTTATCTGCTTTGCAATGTTTAAAGATAAAATATTTCCTTTCTATGTGTAAGAACACATAAAAATACAAAAATCTGTGGTTCTGACCAGTTATTTACAATGTGTACAATATAACACATAAATTTACATCTTTATTATATTAAAAACTTACAAGTGAATGAACTAAGTTACTGTTATTGCAATATACATCTTCATATGGAGTCTTCCTCTAGATCTCTTCTTATATAATTACCAGTCAATTTTTGGGTTGGACTGTAAGGAATGGCTGTGACCATGACAAATATCATATTTAATCATAGATACAGGTGTAATTTTTTTTTTTATTTCAAGACAGTATACAAATATGCTATGGAAATGACTTTAATACATAGTCTTAGGCCTTTAGGATATGATTCCAGGTCAAATTGTTTCATGAGTAAAGATTGGTGTAAATGACGGTAACATCGAACTACAGATGACGTTATTTAATCAACTATAATAGATTTTGTTTCTTCATGAAAAAAGTTTTAAATATTTCAAAGAGCTAGATTGAGATAGACCATATATATATATATATATTGCCAAACAACCAATGAATATTTAAATATTTGAATCTAAACACAATTCTTCAAGCAATTTACATACTGTACATGCAGTTTTCTGAAAATTCAAATTTTTCATTAAAATAAAGAATTCTTCTATTCCTAAGATCTAATGAAACAATAGGCATATTACGGAAAACTTGTTA